CGGAAAAAGGCGATGAACAGTGGCTGTGATATCACTCCTGACCAGGGTGAAAAGACAAACGCCGCTGTGCGCGTCCCACAGCTTTATCAGTTTGTCCCTGGAGCCGGTGGCCAAGAACGGACCGCCTCCGCCTCCACCTGTGCCCTTGTTGCTGAGGTTCTTCTGGCCAGCCCCATCGACGATATACGAAATAGCGGAATCTGGAGCCCACGCTACGCATTCGGTCACGTGGTCGTGCTCTTTCAGTTCAAATTTACACTCTCTCGTAGCCGTCACCCAAACTCGCACAGTCTAAACACATATTAAGTGCGATTAAAAAATTAACTGCAGTGTTAATTGGTATCATCTCTCACATGATCGTTGCTACAGGAGGCCATGATCGAGCCGTCCTGGTACACCCGTACCATACGTATCCAATCGCGATGGCCGATGAAGGTTTTGATGCAGTACCTAAAATACGTCATTAATAAGCTTATAAAAATTTTTATAAGACATATGTAAGAAAAATAGATTTAAATGAAATAGATCAGAACGGCTTGACATAAACGCGCATTGTAGCGCTTGCGACTTCAAGTATAGGCAGTCCACGTTGAAGTGTATGATTTTGCCTTTACATGCGATTATAAATGTCAGATACTTATGAAAAGAATGCGATGACAGAGAGAAGCAGCAAAAAATCAGTGAAATGCCAAACTTGTCAAAATTCAGAACACGACAGTCTCAAATACGCTCGTTTGTCAGTCACTCCTTCTTTAGACTGCGACGATCTGGATACATGCTCAGAATGCAAGGGGGAGGATCAAGTAGCTCTCTTTGCAATGCATTACGGTATCCGCCTAAGGACAAAATGACTAAGGCATTTGAGTATCCAACGTTACTGAGCTATGAATCAAGTCATTGTCCTCGCAGTCTAGGAAGCATGCTCGAGTGGCAAAGGAACGGGAACATCGAAGATGGTTCCAGAATCTACCACACCGCAGATGGAACTAGCTGGAAAAATTTGTCATGTCTGTCACCTATGCCACACTCAAGTGTATATCAGTGTCCAATATAAATACATATGAATACATACTTATGTCAAAATTATATATAAGAATAGCAGCTATTTAAGAACCAGAGTTTTCGGCAAGATGAGATGAAATGGCTGTGCCCGAGCTCACCGAAGAACATTCTCATTAGGCCAAACCTCACGGAGACCGTCAACTGGAGGCCCAAACGCGAAGAAGCTAAGGCAAATGGGTATTTTGCTCATAACCCTGTCAGGTTTGGAGCCAGTAATCAAATCCCACTGCCAAGATCAACATAAATAAATAGGTCTCACAAATAAAAATGGCCTCCAGTTGAATCCGACTACGGTTGACTA